ATATGCTACCTCCGTCCCCTCATTAATATTGGAACGAAAGAGAGTGATATGGTTTTAAAAAAAGTAAAATTATGTGCGCGGTTGGTGATAAGTTGATAAAGTGAGAATAAAGTAAGAATGAATCAAAATCACACAAATGTTACCAAATATAGTATGAATAGAGGGACATCCAAAAATAGAAAAATGTGACAATTATAGGGTGACGGAGGGAGTAATTAATATCCATGAGGTTTCAAAATTTTAGGATTTTAATATTTACTACGTATAAGTAACTATACAAAAATGAAAGAGTAGGAGTGCATATATAATAATTGCAAAGTTTTGAATTGCCAAAGTCTAGGTTATTCGCCATAATTCCAATAAATAATACTCCATAATATAACCGGTTTTTGGGATGATTCGGGACGGTCCAATTCAATGTGGTTCTGAGACGGTTTCTGGTTTCATGATGGTCTTCACTTAAGAATCGGTACCATACCATATTATTAGAAAAGTTTGGTATGATCAGATACAATAATATTATATTTTTAAGGTTCTTTCCATTCTGGTACAATTCGGGACGGTTCTTCAGTACAAAATGGGAAATCCTTGATCTCCACTCTGCACTCAACCCTACTTTTTAATAACGAAATAAGTATATGCTTTATTTTATTTTAATGTTCTACATGCATAACCAAGAATTATTGCCAAGTATCTTATGATTCAATGACACTCTCAAGAAAGAATGTCATATGTTCGAAAAATATTACTCCCTCCATCCCGAATTATAAGAGCATCTCCAATACTAAAGCGTTAATGGTGCATACGTGACATGGGAAATAACCAATTAAAAAACAATAAATACAATATCTCTCTCCTTCTTTCCACGGTCTTATGTGTTTATGGTAAGTTTTTGTCTGCAATGTCAATCACAATGTCTACATCTAGACATTGTGCTTGACATTGTGAAGATAAACTTACCAAAATGATGTAAGATCCTTTAAATAAGGAGAGAGATATTGTATTTATTATTTTTTGATTGGTTATTTCTGATGCCACGTATGCACCGTTAACGTTTTAGCATTGGAGATGTTCTAAGGCACTTTACGGTTTACGATGTTTGACCGGCGATAAAACAAGTTGATCCTTGTTAACACTCAAATTAGTTTTAGAAAAAAATTACATATTCAAAAATTACATGAAAACCGCCACAAAGTATGCAAGGAATAATTCAAATTTCATAAAATTTGGATATATAAAGTAAGAAATTAAAAGTGATTTGTTTTGATCAAATGAATAGAAAAGATATCTTATAAAATGGGACAGAGAGTATTATTTAACAGAACAAATATTATAATATGTGAGAAATACAACAACAAAAAATATAAATGCAAATTATGCATTGCAGCTATCATTTCCATAATATTTGGTCCGTTAAACTGTTAAAGATTGGTAAAAGATGGGTGACAAGAATTGGGACCTAAAATCCCATAAAGTTATAAGTACAATTTGATCCAAAACTGGAAAAGAAGATACAGTATAATAAAAATTATTGTATGGAATAAATTAGATGAATGTTGGTGACGATGATGTCACGGAAATGTCACGTTGACATCATTAATTTTAATTTTTGTTTTAAAATTTGTTATGGGTTTTGTAGCGTGGACGGTCAGTCATGAGATCAATTGTTCATAAGAAAAGTACATTTAACAAATGTATAGGAGCAATGATGAGTATTTTATTTGTCCCCACTCTTTTCTTTTGTGTTATTTTTGGGTTTCATGTACGTGACTTTTTCGTTCTTCTCGTGGTTAAGTGTACGGTCCCGGCGCTGTTGGAAAATAACTTCAGTTATCCGGAATTTAGCAATACGTAGTACTTAGGTAATTTTTTTCAACGGTCTAAGCCGAATTCGGATTTTTTTGTCCGATTTTGCGGGATAAATTTGAGAGTACACGGGATAACGGTTGTCAGATTTTTTTTTTTGTCATTTGATCCATATTATACTCTGAATTATCTGTTATCTTTCAAAATTACTTTTCATGCTTGGGACAATAAATAATTAGGGGATGGAGGAAAAGCACACAATGTTTCAATTGGCTTATTCTTCCATCTTACCAAATGATGTTATTCCATACATTTATCACTTTAATTTAGATTTATGGCCGGTTCTTGCATGTTCTTCTTCCACTCCATCAATTTAATTTCCTCACATTTAAGATAATCTTGTTTACCCATTTCACATTGGTTCATGTGTACGAATTAGCTTCGTGTTGTAAATCTGGTAGTATTTAATCAATCAATATAATGACGGTTTTCCTAAGAGCTATGCAAGAAACCCGATGACACGCGTAATTAATTAGTTAAGAGTTATTTCTTGTGTGAGATGATGTATACTTCTCTCAAAATTGATGGGAGAGAAGTGAGAACCGAACAGATTATTCGAGAAGTTTATATTCACTTCTCTCAAAGGTTTAAGATGGGTTCCGTGGAGCCTAAGAGTAGTCGGGCAAAGTCAGAATTACCTAGTGGGGTTAGCAAAAAAAAAGTGTGTACATAGTATATACACTATATGTAATACTTGGGATTAATTTAAAGGGATTAATATATAGTACTACACATATAAAAAAAATTGCATCTCATTTTGTGGGAGCTTATAAGCTAAGAACTTCAAGGCAAACGTGCTTAGCTTGCACGGGAGTAGTCTTGGATGGGTGACCCCCTGGAAGTTTCACATGGCACACACGAGCGGAGACAAAGTGTGCGATAAAGACTTGTGTTGGATTGGGAGGACATAACTAGAGGTGTGCAGAGTATCTAGGAGTAACTACCTCGGGTCCTATGGGGTCGGTGTTATATATTCCCCCGATACAATTTGATTTATAAAATTTCCTATTTTTGATGTTCGAAATTGATTGTTCACTTTCTATATTAGGTATGGAAAAATGAATTGAGAAACAAACTTACCCTTACACTTACTACCCTTATTTTATCTTTTTTCATTTACTTAAAAAATGCCTCAACTTTGGGCGTGTTGACATTTAGCGGTTAGTGATTAGCGGATAGCAGAGTTTAACGAGTTACTAATAGCGATTCAATCAGCGGGTTTGACTACCGGAATAAGTTGGCGGGTTGTTAGGAGATGTTTCATAATTTAGGTGTTTGGCCATAACAATTAGTAAAAACGGCATATTTCAAAAAACTAACCCAAAACTCTTCTATTTATTTGCAGTGTTTCCATTTCATTGGTTCCAACCAAAATCTTTAGCGCCGAACATATGTGATGGAGTATATGGCCCACAGAACCCCGGCCCACATACTCATGCTTCTCCTAAGCAGGCCCAAGGAGCCCAATGAACACAGGAGGCCCAGATACAGCGGCCCAAACATAGAGGAGCCCACAATACACATGGGGATGCCTTCAGCCCCATGGCCGAAGGCGCCAAAAGTACGGGAGACAGCCGAATTCGTACGTGTGGGGCTACTGGGATATTTTAGGTAAAATTACAGCCTTCGGCTAACCAGGATGCCTTCGGCACACATTCCTAGCCTTTGGCCATGCTGTATTATGACCGAAGGGTCTACTCTCGGCAAAGATTCCCTCTGCAGACAAGCAACCACCGCATTCAATGCTGCGTCACGTCTAACCACCGCATTTAATGCGGTGCCACATGCTATGCCGGTGCCACCCCGATTGAGGCGACCCTCCATTATGGGATGATTGACATGTGTACTCGTATGACATTTATGGCTGCTATAAATAGCATCCCGTTTTCCATTGTAAAGGGCATCGAGCTCATTTATTATAATTTGACTCTCTCTCTCTCTTACTTGTTTGCTCCGACTTCTCTCTAGATATTTCTTATAATATCCCTCAGATAAGCTACCCCCGGGTACACTATCCATCAATCCGTTTTATCAAACAACGTTTTCGCTTATCGAAAACATTAAAGGGAGTCAAATCGACAATGCCGAAACATCATCTTTTCCAAATTAAATTGGGACAACAATCTTTAAATTAAGCAAAATTTTTAAAAAGACAACGAGCCCGTTTGGTAACACAAAAATCGACTATAATTTATGAAGTTCTCGCCGAAATGGCTATATTGGCTGATTCTGCTGATTTAAGAAAAATTTATTTTTAAAATATATTTTATTAATAAAATAAAGAAAAAATTGTATTTAAAAATAGCTAATATGGTCATCTACAGTAACTTCAGCCAATACAGTAAAAAAAATAACTTCAACCTTACTTTTACTTATTATTACAGAATTCAGCGGTAAAAAAAAATTACGTAATTGGTGAAAAAATTGACTGATAAGCCTGATAGGCCGAAAAATAGTGTTACCCGACGGCTTCAACAATTTGAAATGCTTTTGCGGAGTAAATCTTTTTGAATTCAAAGAAAAGAAAAAAAGAGCACAAGTTGTCGTTGTCCAAAACCATGTGGTGGCTATAGGAGAACCATATAATCAATCATACCATTCCTCCCCCGGCCTGCCTGTAATTGCAGAGCCAACAGTGGAGATCAGCTTTGGGTAATAACTGCCGCATGCACTTTTGCTTCACCTACATATCAATTCCCGAGTTCCCATCCATGCATATATATATACCTATACAGTCAAACACATTCAGATAGATTTGAAAAATAAAACCCTAACTTCGACCAATTATTTCATTATAATAATATGGTAACATGAAGTTTAATTAAATTCAAGGAAGCAGCGTACTAGCTTAGTATATACTACGTATGTCTGTGTGATGGTTTATTGTTTTCATTCCTGCCTATTAAAGCTTATAATGAAGAGGCAAAGAAAAGGATGGAAAAGAATGGAGCAAGGGTTTTCAGGTTTTGGGGGGAGAAAGAAAGGGGTAGCTAATAGTAATTAACTATATAGCTTACTTTAATCCCTCCCCTTTTTTTAATTATTTGTGCTTTGTGCGTGTATATGTGTGGGGGGTGGGGGTGGGGTATAAGAACTGTTTGTTTTGATCTGTTCAACTTGGGATCGGAGGTTGAGCTAAGCCTTTTAATTAAAATCCTCCTTCCAAACACTACTTCTCTTAGCTCCATCGCATAAACACCATTCTTTGTAATAAGATATCCAGTAATAATACTAATAATCTCAAAATAACAATTATTATTGAGATTATTATTATTATTCGATGGATTATGCTTACCTCCACCAAAATCATCACCAGTTCCTCCACCAAGATCATCAGCTTCCTGTAATTCTTTCCTCTCCTCCTTCTCTAGCAAATAATATTAACTGTAATATACAGAATTCCCTATCATCATCTTGCTATGGAGATTCTACAACTACATGGACCCCAAACAGTAACACCATGTGAGTCTTTTTCTCTCTCTTTTTCTTGAGCTAAAGCTCTCCTTTTTTCACCTTTTCCCTACTTGATCTTTGTTTGATTTGATGTGTGCCAAGTTTCTAAAAGAACCCAAATTAAAGCTTTGATTCACTGTTTGTTTCACAAAATTAAACCATCTTTTTTTGCTGGAATGGTTTCCCTAATTAGGGTTTATATATTGTTATGTTTCAGAAACAGTGGCAGCAGTTGTTTGAGCTCATTACTTTTATATCCAAACAATACTCTCAGCAGCTCAGTAAACCATCCTCAGCAACAGCAGGAGGAGGAGGTCAACATGCCCACCCAAGAGTTGACTTTTAATCACTGGCCGGAGGAGGCGGCTTTCAGCGGCGGCGCAATGAAGCAAGAACTCTCACCGGCGGTGGATCAACAGTTCTTTTGCTCCACTAATGGTAAAAGAGGAGGAAGCACTGCAAGCAGATTTATAAGTCAGATATACCCAACCATAAACGTTCCCATCTTGAACCATAATAAGAATAATCAGGAATTAGAAGAAGCTGCATCTGCTAATTCCTTGGGGAATTCTAGGTCTTTGGGGATGAACAATTTGCAAGCTTTGGATCTGTTCAATTCTGAGCATCATCAACAGTTTGGGTTTCAAAGCTTTCCTGGGATTGATCACTATCATCATAATTTGCAGCAAGCAACTCATCAAAGGACATTGTTTGGTAACAACTTTCACAATGTAAGCACACTTTAATTTATTATGTATCTCATCTCCAAAGGGAAAAAGTATAGGGATTGGAAGAGGCATAGAAATGTGTAGTTAGTGAAAATTTTATTAAAGAATTTGATGATAACACAAATCTGATCTCTTACTTCTTAGCTAGGTACACCTTTATTTCTACAAATCATCATTTACTCCCACATCCGTTTTTTTATATTTGATGTTTCAGAATATCACACAAGAAGAATAAAGGGGTTTCTAAAGTGTGCACATGTGTTAGATGTTAAAGAAAGAACTAATGTGCATGTAATTCCTTTAGTTTTTTAGAATTTAATTCTTTGGTTAGTTGTGATATTACATATTTTTTTTTAGATATGGTGATAATCATATGTATTTTTTAAACCATACTCCATATTTATTTTACTCTAGAAATTATTAAATTCTTTTTATTTAAGCTTGCACATGAAATAGACTAATTTTTCTTTAATTACCATGTTTCAATTAGCATACATTGGAAAGACCTAATTAATGAAAAGTAGGTGTTAAAATGTTTGAATACCAACATGCTAAAACCAGAAATTAAGGGAGATTCAATAAAACCAGCAAGAGTATCCCATAAAAATCTATAATGCTAAAATATTGAATAACAAAAGAGCTGATGAGAATATCATTTACTTTCTCTAGCTATCTCCAAAAAAAAACATAGTTTAACTGCATATGTTATTGATGTAAAAAGTTTTTTTTTTTTACTTTGCACCTCATATTTTGGGTGATATAGATTTTACACCCAATTTGCAAAACCATTAATGTTACCACCCTATCGGTCTGAAAATTGTGAAAGAGTGAGGTGTAAAGTCAAATGATTTTACACTAAATTGGGGTCCATATATTAATAATTTTAAAAATAAGGTGCAAAGTCTAATTTCACCAAAAATGGAGTGCAAAGTCGAATTCTCTCTATAAAAATGTTATGTTTGACATCTTAGAATGCACTCAATTAAAAATTATGTGGAAAAGATTAATTATTGTATGGTGTACTATATATTGTACATAGTAAACACTTGCTACTCCGTATTTTATTATCAAAATATCCCCAAAAGGTATGAACTTAATTTTAGTTATCATGAAGAGGAAAAAAAATAACTTAACTTAGGGGATGTGTATGTGGCCTATGATTTTGAGAAGGGTTTAGGAAGTTACGTACAGATTGAGTTTTAATAACGCACTCCCATTTGACTTTTATCGTCAAGATATTAATTCATATTTTCATAAATATTAATAGTGGATGCTTTAAAATTTTACATCCAGGTAATTTAAATGAAACAAAAAGAATTGTTTGGAAATATGAGCAAAACATAGGAAAAGTTCTTAAATATGATTAAGTATGTTTTCTTTTCTAAATAAGACTTATTTATAATAAGTAATAGTAAAAGAATAAAGAATAAAAACTTTCCTAAATAGTGTGAGTGAGAAGTCCTATTTTGAGAAGAAAATATTGGCTCATCTATTTGAATTTGTTTTGCTTTGTTTTAATCATATTTAAGAAATTTCATCATAAAACAATGATCTACACAGTAATTAATTTTGGGTTATACTTCAAAATAAAATATGTTAAAGGTATGTCCCTTTCTTTAAAAGTTAAAGTGCTAATCCTAAAAAGTAGTAGATGAAATATACGGTACCTAGGACAAAAATAATTTTATTGACTAAAAGTAATAAACGTACAATAACATGTGTTTCTCAAGATTATCACCTCAAAAAAAGAATAATATACCTTTCAAAAAAAATCGTAAGACTAAAAAAATTAATACTCCGTATATCTTTAACGTAATATCATTGGAGTCCATGATAATATCTTAAGCTTTAAGGCTTTTGAATGTAACCATTATCTAGTTTAGCTCATATCATTATGACATTATATATATCTATATAGGAAGATAATTAGTTTTAGAGTATAGCTTAGGTAGCTTGATGATGCATCATAATGGAATATAAGATGATTAACAAAGAAACATATATACATATACACAAAAGCATCATGTCTTTTCTTGCATTGGCTTTTATTTAACTTTAGACCAAAACGAAACAAAAGCAAACCTTTTCTTTTATGTGGTTAAAGCCTAGCTAGCTCAGCTTTATTCACCACACACCCACATTTTAGTAAACATCCCTCTTTATTTATACAAATATTTCTTTTCAAATAATACGTGCCTCTCCTTTTTCAGCTAATGAGTCTTTTTATACACATTCATGGAATTGAATACTAGCTAGCTGGTCATCATGATTAATTAATGTAAAAAGTCCAAAGTATACTAATTAATAATAAATTTGAACCTTTGAAGATATCAGCAGCCTTGTCCTGCCATAACAATGCCACAACAGAGGGAAAAAGGCAAGGCAATGGTGTGGAGCCAAAGCCACCTCAAGCACCACTTATTAAGAAATCCCGACTGGATCCGCGTGTCTCCTGTCCGCCCTTTAAGGTATATACACACACCTATTATATAGGTATTTCAGTAAAAAAAAAACACAAATTGCTTTATTTAATTTGGCATCTTAATTTTCTATTATTTCTTCCGATTCTTTTTTAAATATAACTCACTAACCCACAATTTTATTCCTAAAATTGTCATTATCCCTCATTTGTCTTGACACTTGAAATTAAGAAAATGGAAATTGTGTACTACATAATAAAAATTGTACATAGAAAATGAATAGAAAACAATTGCTGGGGCCTCTCAGATCAAGCCCCTCCTTGTCTCCACCAATTTTTGCTCTGTTTAATTAATGCGGTGTATGCATAATTAAGTTAATTAATTACTATGGTTGTTATACATATGAGACAGGTGAGAAAAGAGAAGTTAGGAGATAGAATTGCAGCTCTTCAACAGTTAGTAGCACCTTTCGGCAAGGTAATCAAGAGCTTTTATCTTTCTTTAATTAATTAATTATACTCATGAAAGCATAGAATTGCAGCTCTTTCCCTAATAAAAGCATGTTTCTATATTTTTTGCTATGGGTCCCATGAAAGAGATATATATGCTAAGAAATGTGTTTTTAATTTATTTTTGAGAAATTGAATATTCAGTCTCGTGACTTATATTTGTATCAATTTCTAGTTTTATAACTATACTAACTTGCAGGTAATTTCATGTAACTAGTACTCACATATTAAGTCTTTCTCACCCAAATGTATAGAGTAGTAAGAACTACCAAATAAGTCCTAGAACTTACATAAAAAGGGCAAATCACCCCTTATATAAGATGTTCTGTCCGGCCGTCGCCATTTGGGGCGGTTTCCGGTGCAATTTTTTGATGAATTTTTTTAGAATCTTATTCATTAAGTCTAGTTTACTCATACCAAATTTCAGTTAAAAATTCAAATGGGAAGGAAGTCAAATGAACTTTGGAAGATGATTGCGCAGTTAAACAGCGCAGTATATTTCAGAAAATCATTTGACTACTTTCCTGGTTGAATTTTTAGCTGAAATTTGGTATGAGTAAACTAGACTTAATGAATAAGATGCTCAAAAGAATTCATCAAAAAAATTCACAGGGAGCCGCCCCAAATGCGATGGCCGGACAGAGCCTCCTATATACGGGGTGATTTGCACTTTTTAATTAAGTTCGAGGGTCTATTTGGTAGTTCTCCCTACATAGTATTATTTTCGGAGGAAAACTCTATGTGCTGAGTCTATGGCGGTGACAAATTTTCTAGTGCCGTTTTCGCTTAGCTTGTAATGTTACATTCTGATACAAAAGTGTTTAATGAGGACGAATTTATGACATATAGGATATGGTCTACAAGATGAATCATCATGTCAGGCCGGCCTGACGGGCTGCCCCGTCCGGCCGAGCCCGTTTGGGCACCTTCCCGGTAGAATTTTTTGATGAAATTTTTTGAGCATGTTCCTCATCGAGTCTAGTTTGTCCATACCAAATTTCAGCTCAAAATTCGATCGGGAAGGTCGTCAAATGATTTTTGCAAGTTAACTGGTCCGGAAAATACATATTCCGGACCAGTTAACTTGCAAAAATCATTTGACGACCTTCCCGATCGAATTTTGAGCTGAAATTTGGTATGGACAAACTAGACTCGATGAGGAACATGCTCAAAAAATTTCATCAAAAAATTCCACCGGGAAGGTGCCCAAACGGGCTCGGCCGGACGGGGCAGCCCGTCAGGCCGGCCTGATGAGAAGAGCTCTCTGGTCTACAAATATATAAAGCTACATGACTAATAATAAGTACGTGCATATGTTGTAGGACTGAATAAAAAAAGAGTTATATAAAAAGAAGAAGGTGACAACTTCGGTACCTTTCTAAAAACAGGGGTACCGTATCTAGCTAGCATTCATTTGATTGGACCACATCACTTTATCAATTTTAATTTAGATTTAAATAATTCAATTGCTACCTTTTTATTGATTCATGTAAACAAAGGTGTGGTACCTTATGAGTACCATAGAAACTACCAAAAATAAATACCAAGCTATATATTCCATCCATAATATGGTTGTGAGTAAAGTAGAAAAGTTTAGAAGGTACCCGCGCGAGAGAAGTAATATAAATTATCAGAGGAAATATAAAAAAATATAGAAAACATAAGGATATCTATATATTTGTAATGAGAAACTTACGTTAATAGGGAAATGTTGCAAATACTCTCTGTACTACGAAAAAGGTTAAAAGGAATACCGTTCAGTTTGCAAGTAAATAATATGGTGGAAGTATATGATAGATTAACTTAGTTTTAAAATAGATCAATAAATCACATTGATTATTAATGTATTTAATAGGAAATTTGTAAGAATTTAAAAAATGTCATATGTTAAAACTTTATATACATAGATTGATGATGTTTTTTCAGGTTTATTTCTAGACTAGACCAGATCAAATCAGACTAGATTTAAATAGATCAAACAATACTTCGTACTAGATTAGATCATCAGACTTTGATAGTTATAAACTACAGACATCTACTAGATTAGAAATTTCAATCCAATTAAACACACCTTTAATATTTTTCATCATATACGAGTAATTCTTAATACAATACGTAGTATGTGATAAAGGATAAAGAGAATAATTTAAAGAGAAAATTATTTAAATATAGCTAGGAATGAAAGAAAAAAAGTTTCTCAAATAGAATCACCATTATTTATTCCTTAAAGAGGAAGTTTTATCATATCTATTCTTCAATCAGGTCTAAATAATTAAGTTTGGAAATAAAATATAATTAGTCCTATTTGTAAACTTTATCTATTTGCAACCATTTTATTTAATTTTTAATCAAATTGTTATCAAATTATTTTTAATTTGAAATGAACTGAATATGATGCTTTACCTAACTCTCATAACAGTCATAACTATTAGCAAAAATCATTTCTCCGTAGAATTTAAAGGTTAGCAAGAAGACATTCTAAGCGCAGCATGGGGTCCAAATTTGGACGGCACGAATTTGACGTACAATTTGTGCTTCTGTACAGCGTGTATTGTATACGACTAATCGAACAGACATTCTTCACTCTAGTCTAATCCTGGTAACCAGTGGCGGATCTATATATCAGATTACGGATGTTCATATATATTTTCAATATATAAAAAATTAGTTAATTTTAATAAAAAATTAGTTAATTTAAATAAAAAATTAAATTAAATTTATACATGTATACTAAATTATATTTTACAATTTTATGTGTTCATGAGAATACTTTTGCACCAACATAGGTCCGCCACTGCTGATCACCCATTTTGAAAGATCAATCTGATGGTAGCAGTAACATATTAACGTTGAAGCTTATCTTTAAATGTCTATAATTAGTTAAGACTGTTCAATACAAGTTATAGTCTCAATAAAAACATTTACCAAATGCATCAAAGTACCAATTAATCTATATTATTCATCTTAATTATTATTCTTCCCAAGATGGGGGTTTAATATGGAGTACATTTTGCAGACAGATACGGCATCCGTACTGATGGAGGCCATTGGGTACATCAAATTTCTTCAAAACCAAGTTGAGGTAACGAGTCAAATCTTTTTTGTTTCACCTGAGATAAGTCATATCAAGTTAAATTTAAACAAATCAAATTAGTATTGCGTAATACCAAGTATCACATAATTAAATGTTGATGAAATAAGACCCAAACCAAATTAGCAAATTCAATACTAGAGAATATATCCTTCACACATGTGATGATAAGAATAAGGAATCATGTTAAAACTCAATAACTTATTATACGAATAATTAAGGGGAAATTAACTTGGATGATCACTTTACTTTCAAGTAAGTTTCAATTTGGTCACATTACTTTAATTTGTATCATTTTGATCACTTAATTATAACTTTAGTTGCAGATTAATATATCAGGCCTATTAAGTTGACGGAACAATGACATGTTGATAAATGTATGTTTTCTCTTTGATAGTAAGAATTAATTATAGCTGCCACATCGTTTAGCCATCTCACTCAGTTATACATAAAATAAAATATCTGACTCAAATAAAAAGACAAAATTCAAGGATGGCCTGTAATCAGTCGGATCAATCAAAATAGCCTCCACGGACGACGAGACCGCAGCCCTTGTGATGGATGAGGACTCCAAATGATGAAGGTTCTTAGGTTCTGGTAAAGTTCCATTACTTACCAGTTGAGATCTTGGTAAGGGTGATATGCTGAGGATGAGAATAACATAAGACGGTACACATAGGGAGGAAAGACGACTTTAGGTGATGTTCTTCAAGGAACGAAGGGAATGATCTCTTTTTATTTGGACTATAATTAACAACATTTATTGATGAAGATTGAGAGTCAACTCTAACGATTTCTTCCTCTGTATCCACTTAAAATTATTTGGACTATAGTTAACAACCGTTATCCACTTTTCTGGCAACTAAATAGGCCGGAAATGATTAATTTGTAACTGAAATTAAAATTAGATGATTGAAATGAATCAAATTAAAATTAAGTGACCAAATTGAAACTCACTAAAAGTTAAGTGATCTTCCAAATAAATATCCCAATAATTAAGGAATCTTGTTATAAGTTTCAACAAACTTGCAAAAAAAAGTTACAAAAGCGAAACGTGCCATAATTCTATTTTTCCACACATCACATTAATCTTGTAGGTATGTAAATCGTATGGCCCACATCATTGTTTTGTAAATTTGTACTAGTATAAATTTTAGCCTCTTTGTCACAAAAATGTACTTGAAATAATTCTTGATGCGTCAATTTTTCCTTTTTCAGTTGTCCTAAAAAAATGTCATGTTCTCATAAAGTAACTATTTTCATATTTTGTAGTTCATCTCATTTTTCTTTCCTCTGTAGAATTTTCAACCACACAATTTTTACTATTCTTATTTTTCATTTAATTCAAAGAGTGCAAAGTTCATTGGAATGATGGTAGTATGTAGCTTTGGAAATCATATGGCCCACATCATTTTATATGTGTATCAATTTGTAATGATAAGAGTCATAAGAAAAGAAATGGATAGATTTACAAATGGAATATTTAAAATTTATACGAGTGATTGAAGAGATTTGTAGGAAAAAATGAGGGATACTGTATATTTTTTTGAAATATGTGTATCAGTGTATACCAGGACCACTGATGGCCGGGACTTTACATAGGATTGAGAAAATGGATGAAAAGTGGAATATAAGTTGAATCCGGTCCTGAATCATATTAAAGGACTCAGGCATAAGGCATTGAGTTATATGTTTCGTATCCTTAATGTATGTTTTGATGGGATGACTTATAAATTATAATTAATCAACCAGCTACACTTAGCTTGTTTATGGCTATATTACGATCAATGTAGCTACAATATATAGTTAATATCCTAACATACATGTTTACATAGCTACATAATTAATGTGATGTGTGGATTATATTGTTCGTAGCTACATTACATACTTGTTTACATTGCTTCAAAGGTAACTCAATTAAACATTGAAAAATCACATTACCTGCTGCTACGTACATAGCTAATATCCAAACATACTTGTTTACTCAATCATAAGGATTGCCAAGTTGAGTAATGTTAGCTACAACTACTTAAGTTGTAATTGAAGCTAACATTGAAAGATAAATCTCTTTGGGTATGTTTGTAGCTGCGCACTCACATTGACACATTGTTTGAATAGAAAAATTAAAGAACAAACTTATTAATCTATATTACATGAGCTTGCCATATCAAGATCAGACCAAACTCTTATTAGTGTCTTCTCATTATTAAGTTGTTCCACACTGCCTGGGTATAAAAATACAAACCAATATATAAAATTTTAGCTTGACCTTTTAGAATGAAACTCCAAGATTTGATATGATATCAGAGTAAATTAAGTTCTAACGAGCAATTAGAACTTGGTAAGTCTCAACGATGAGCGCATAGTTCGACTACAAGGTTGGACTACTCCACCAAGTCATCACCTTTGTGTGGTTGTATTAACCTGTCTAACACACCGGTTGCGTTTAAAATATAAACTAACATATAAAAGTCTTGTGAAGCATTCTTCCAATCAAATGGACTTGGGATGAAACTCAAAATAATAATCAGATAGTACGTAGTATAAACTATAAACTATACCCATTCAGCCCGGCCTTGATCAAGTTTAGTGTCACCTATAAAGACGCATGTGATACTATCATGACTAGGAATGCCCGCAAATGCTGCTCTTGGCCATATACTATTGTTAAAATCAATGTTTGCATGAGGCTCTTGATCAATTCGTGAGTATTTTCTAGATATCAAGGTTTTATCACTTATCTATTCCTAGATGAGTGTCCGACCGGTGTCTAACACTAACTTTTCAAACTCTTAATCTCCATATATCATAAGTACTTAGGGATGAATAAATCTGTGTAGTATACAATATACGTACTGTATGCCTTACGAATTAGGATTCATATATAGCTTGGCCCAAACACATGATGTCCATTTCATTTGTTGTTTAAACCCGCACGGGTAGCTCAGTTGGTCGAGCGGTGGGAAATTTAAATCAATGAACCAAGATTTGAATCCCCGCAGCGACTGGGTGGAGGTTACAGAATCTGAAATAAGGCTGGATCTCTAACGCGCACGGGTTGTAAGCCTACTGTCACTTTGCTGACCGAGTCACCATGACTTGCTCTTTCACCATCCTGTCGGGTCGGGATGTGGGGGCTCCTGGGTGGGAGATTCACCTTTTGGATCAATTGTTTTGTTGTTTAAATCTATTGCTGAATGCTGACCACTTTAACACATACTTATTTTGTCAGACTTTAAGCATGCCGTATATGAAATCATCACGCAACAAGGGCTGTGGTTCAACCATGCAAGGGGTAAGAGAGTCTTTACTCTATATGTATATATTGTTTTCTCCATTATTCATAGCGTACATGAGCATGCCTGAATGTATTATGTTAAGGACTTTTATAGACACTAATTGCTCTAAATAGGACTATTTGAAATTAAAGTTATGTTGAGGACAATGAAATAGGATTACGGAGTATATGTTTATTCCTGTAATTTATGTATATCTCCATTATTGGTTTTGCAATTTCACTTATATATTTAAATGTTAGGTCATTTGACTAATATACAGAGTATTTATTAATATTAAAACATTTTCACTGGAATATATTACCACCACTACACCCTGGTGGACTTTTTCGACTTCAAATTAAGTGAGAAATAAGAAAAGTAAAAGTTGTATGATTGGAATTTGTGTAGTGGGGATGGAAATGAGAAGAACAACAAATTAGTTGCTTTATTTGAAAAATGACAAAAATTTTGGTACAAAAAAAGGTGGCAAAGTCTAATGAGACGATGGAATACTACTTGTGATAGAAAATTTAACACTGCGGCCTCCTTATCTAGCCTATTCTTTTACTAGAAATTGAACTTTTTAGTGAAAATGTCTTTATAAATATCTAGTTTCACGTGAGAAAGTTTCAAGAGACGAAGAGAGTAGTAATTAGTGCCATCTTAACTCGTATTTATGGGGAGGCAATTACACATGTACTCCTTTAGAAAAGCCACATATTTTGGGAAAGTTTCCTACTTTTACTCATTAATGACATGTTGTAGATGATATATATTTTTTATAGAACAAAATTCGAGAAGGATTTATTAAAGATTCTTTTTGCCTAATCAAATTAGCAGTGGGGCCAGCATGAAGACAACATTGAAACCGAAGAAACCAGAAGAAGAGGGGATCTTAGAAGCCGAGGGCTTTGTCTTGTACCATTATCATGCATGTCTTACGTTGATGACAGCTGCGGCGGTGGCGGCGGCAGCTTCTGGCCTCCTCAGAGCTTCGGCGGATCTTAATCAAACAGCACGTGAGTTGCATGCTTCATGTCGTGCTCTAAAGTCTGCTCCATTCATGGTAGCAGCTCATCTCCTACGCCATGCATACTCAGTTGCTGGTTTATTAGAGGCTGATTAGCTGTTGAATAAGGATTTATTAGATATGCTTATTTTGTACTCGCCCTATTGATTAATGGAGCAAGCTTGGTCATTCTGTATGGTCAAAAGAGCCACCTTAAGGATGGACCAAGTTTGATCCATTAAAATTATATATGGGCTTTTTTCTATTATTGCTTCATTATCACAAGACTTTATTATTGTACTGCATGGCACCCTTATCTACCCTAATAACTTCAAAAGTGAGGCTTTCATTTCTTAGTTATTGATTTGCTCCACACAAATTAAATCTGATTCGGAGGGTGCATTTTTTTATGAGTCCTTATACCGTGCAACCGGTGCATGAGGAGCACCATGCACCCATGGTTATATGAAATGTAACTCGTGTGATTCGAGATGTAACTTCAAGTTAATCAAAATGTAAATTGCACTCATTCACATGTAACTCGTTGAAATGTAAACTGCTTTTATTGAAATGTCACTTGGAGAACAAATTAGATGTAACTTAGCATATGTAACTTTAAGCTTTTGAAATGTAAAACGTTTTTACAAAGATGTAACTCCATGTATTAATATATATACACACACACACACAATCAAAATGTGTATATATATATATATATATATATATATAGGGATGAGTTCAAATGAGAAGACATCTTAACATCGAAAGTGCATCAATTAAGGTCTATTTGAAAGTGCATCAGATAGGGGTTATGGTGCATCAGATCGACACTTTGGACGGCTGAGATTAATTCTCATTTTACACATTAAAACTTTTTTTATTTGATACAAATTCTACACACACACATCAAAGGCAGCTTCACATAGAGAGCATGGATAGATGGGCGGAGTATGGTTAATCAAAAAAGCAAGAAACCCTTGGTCTATTAAAATGAGATATTACCCAAAATAGGACTAAAAAGGTTTGAAAATTCCAAAATAGGACTGATATGCACTAATTAGTAGTGCATAAATGTATTTTTTTTATGTTTGATTTGTGTGTATTGTTTACCGTTTTATTTAGTTTGTAAACATTTGTGTGATTTTAGTTGTAATTGTATTTTAATCTTCATTTGTAAGTTGTAAAGTAGAGTTAGGAATTAGGGTGTTGAAAATGAGGACTTTGAAGTGAAGAAAAATAAGATTTGGCTGCCCAGAAGCAAGAACCCGACCGGGTACAATACTTCACCTGGTCGGGCATGACAAGAAATCAGAAGCTGCTGAGAAAGTCACTTGACCCGGTCGGGTCCCCTACTTGACCCGGTCGGGTCAGACTTGACCCGGGACACCAGAACGTGCCGAAGATCACCAGAACGTGGAGGATATCTGATGTTGACTGGACCCGGTCGGGTAGGGACCTAACCCGGTCGGGTAAATGCCCCAGGGTGTTGAAAACACCTATAAATAGCCCCATTTTCCTTCACTTTTAAATCATCCCTTCTTCCATACTCTTAAGCTCAGTTTAGAATAGTATTTCTTTTATATTTTTATAGCATGTTTAGTCTCCAAATGAGGAGCTAAACTTCCATTTCTTGGTGTTGCTCTTGAAGCTTGTTGATTATTAAAGTTGTGAGTTATTTTCTTAACTTCTTCCCTTGAATATTAATTATTCTCTTAATCTATCTATATATTAATGTTGGGGAGTGTTGCTAAGATGACAATTAGTTAACATCTCGACATTAGTTATAGTAGTATTTATTTTCTTCCTCTATATATTAATGTTGGGGAGTGTTGCTAAGATGACAATTAGATAACATCTTGACATTAGTTATAGTAGGATTATTCATATTTAATCTTCTTCCTTGAATATTAATTCTTCCCTTAATCTATCTCTATATTAATGTTGGGGAGTGTTGCTAAGATGACAATTAGTTAACATCTCGACATTAATTACTACTAGAAACGATCAACGAACCGATGGTTAATCGTTGATGGTTTCACAAGTAAGTAACTTCGGTTTATTAATGCACGGTCGTGGTTAATAAACTTAAGAGGGATTAATTTTGTTGGTTAAACCGAAACCGTTGTGTTGAGGTTATCAATCTCAATTGATTTCATCAAGGAGTTAAGAGATTAAATGCTACTATTAAGTCGGTATATGGCGGTGTTCTATACTTGACTAATAGTAAGGGTTATTAATGAACGGTCGTTGTTAATAACTACTCTCGATGAATTGGATATACTCCTCGATTGAGTATTTGAGAGGGGATAAGTTATAGATATAACAATGATCGACTAAAATATATCAACAAGTGGAAAGTAGCAATGCCAAGTCCTTTTTATCTTTGAATCAAATCACATTTAACTTGTTCATCTTCGGGTTTTATTTTAATTAAATCACTCAATCAAAAACCCCCATTTATTTCCTAGTTCTATAAAAAGAGAATTATTCCTTTCCCTGTGGATACGAACTCTGCTACGCTATACTACGTATTAGTGCTAGTATTGAATTTATTTTGACGCACCGTGACAAAGTGCATCGTCAAATTTGGCGCCGTTGCCGGGGAAAGGCAATTAATTTTTCTTTTTATTTCATTTAAAAGAAAAAGAAAAAAAAATAGATCGAATATAAAGATTTCTATTTCTTCTGAGCTTTGTAGTATATGGTTAAATATCGTTCACTGAACGAAATCACCTACAAATCAAACCCCGAAATAGAACAAACTCTCGAGCGGTTGAAGAACAAATTCTCAAGCTCCGACTCGGGAGAATCATCAAGTGCTAGTTCTCAATCTAGCGAGACCGAAGAGCCAATTACTATGGCTCATGAAACGAGAACATTGAGGGAGCTCACGGCTCCGAATCTAGATCAACAACCCCTATGTATCACTTTTCCAAATCTTGATACGGGGGTCACATTTGAGCTAAAATCTGGGCTCATTCATCTCCTTCCATCATTCCATGGTTTACGAGGGGAGGATCCGAACAAACACTTGTCGGAGTTCCATATTGTGTGCACAAGCATGTGCCCCAATGGTGTATCCGAGGAGCAAATCAAACTGAGGGCCTTTCCATTCTCTCTGAAGGATACCGCAAAGGACTGGCTATTCTATCTTCCTTCGGGAAGTATCACTACATGGCCACAAATGAAGAAGGCTTTTCTGGACAGGTACTACCCCGCTTCTATTTCATCATCACTCAAGAAGCAGATAAGCAACATTGAGCAAAAAGATGATGAATCTCTATATGAATATTGGGAGAGATTCAAGAAGCTATGTGCGAGTTTCCCCTATCACGGATACACCGAACAAGACCTCATTCTCTACTTCTATGATGGTCTTGTGGATCAAGATCGCCGCATGGTGAATGCAGCATGTGGAGGGGGTATTGTCAACAAAACCCCTTCTCAAGCAAGAGATCTCATCTCGGAGTTGGCCGAGAACTCTAGACACTATAACGGGCGGTCCTCAACCCGTAGGGTTATGGCAGCAGAATCCAACAACTCGTTGGAAAGTCAAGTGAACGACTTGACAAGTCAAGTTACCGGCTTGACTTCTTTGGTTAAGGATTTCCTTTTAAAGTCCAAAACCCAAGAAGTCAAGGTCTGCGGTATCTGTACACAACAAGGGCATCCCACGGACTCATGCCCAACTCTTCAAGAAGACACCACAGAACAAGTCAACGCCTTGGGTTTCCAAGGACATCAACAAAGGAGGTACGACCCATTTTCAAACTCTTACAATCCCGGATTAAGGGATCATCCAAACTTGAGGTATGAAAACCCTCAACAAGCCAACCCATCTTCTCAATCGAGTATGTGTACGGAAGACATGATTCGAACTCTTGCTACGAGCATGGGCACCTTGCAACAAAACGTGGTGCAATTTCAACAAGAAACAAAGTCAAGCATTCAAAATTTGGAAACTCAAGTTAGCCAAATTTCGAATGCTGTGAATCGACTTGAAGCAAGAGATTCGGGTAGGCTCCCTTCCCAAACTGAGCAAAACCCAAGGCAACAAGTCAATGCCATCATGATCAGTAGTGGTCGAGAATTACAAACAAGGGAAGTTGAAAAAGAAAAGGTTGACAAAAATAAGGTTGAGGAGGAGGAGCCAACAAAAACAAAATTCCCTCCGCTGTCATCATATGAACCAATCCCTCCATTCCCAGAGGCGTTGAAAGATACAAGAAAGCTAGAGAGTGATCGGGACATCTATGAGACCTTCGCGAATTGTGAGGTAAATATTCCACTCTTTAAACTCTTTAAATATTCCACTCTTTAAACTAATAATTGTGAGGACATAAATGACCAGCACGTTGGACATTAATATGTCATAAAACTGTCCATTTAAAGACGCATTAAAAGATAAGAATGTTGGGCATTAACTGCTGTATCGGACCAGAACTGTTCTGGTGCGTGAGCAGAACATAACACCCCAAACTTCTGTCCGAGCTCCGCAGGAGAGGACCCCCAGATCTTCTATCCGAGCTCCGCAGCAGAGGACTTCTGTCCGAGCAGTTCTGCTACAGAAGAGGAAGTGTTCTGCCCGACCAGCAGTTCTGGAAAAAATAAAACGTTTACGGGAAAAAACAAAAATTAATTCGTATCTTTGGAAGATAGATTTTTGGACGACATTCGTGTTCGCAGGTCGCCCGCGCACGCAAGTCGCGATTTTTCTTCTCCATTTTCGGGATTTGATTCGCACCCTCCATGCACGCAAAGAGAGCCTTCTCACCTAAAAATCTTAACTTCTTTGAATAGGCTTCCCTTTATAAGGGGTTCAAATTCCCTTGGGTTTCCTGGTGTGGAAAAAGCCACACTAGAAACTCATCTTTTTCCCAGTTTTTTCATTTAAACGAGTGAACTTCGAGAATCAATTTCTCATTCACCCGTTATCTGTTTTGAGCGTACCACATATCGAATTTTAGCCTTTAACAAGAACAATACGAAACCATTTTGACCTGACCCAAATCGGAAGTAGACCCCACTCAAAATATTGCCCTAAAATTACCATCTAATGCAATTTTAACACATTTTTCTAACAAAGTGAACTTGAAAAGTGAAAATTGATACTCCTTATTTCCAGCCCTGTCCTTATCCTTAATCAGTTGGTGCGGCAGATGCAAGTTCGGTTTTCGCTAACAAATTGAGGGTAACCGCCGGCTTTTAGGTGAAGTACTGCCCACACCAAGGGCGAATTCGTCATTGCACCACCACACGAGACGGTTTCCGTTTGTTATCCTCAGCACCCGGCCGTGTGTCCTATTGATGAGTTGTTATATCTTCTCCACTCCCAAGGCATTTCTTCATCTTCTATTTTACACTACTCCCAAAGCACTTCTGCTCTTA